CTTTGGTTTGATGTCTCTGTGCACTATGAAAGGGTCACAATCATGATGGAGGTATTCAAGTCCATGTGCAATTCCAACTGCAATTGTACAGCGAACATTCCACTCTAAAGTTGGTGGTGGAAACTTCTCATGCAGAAGATCATGAAGACTTCCATTTTCCATGTACTTGTACATGATTAGACCAAAGTCCTTTCTTAACCAGAAGTTTTTTATTCTCACTAGATTTCTATGCCTTATCTTCCCAGTGGTTTCAATCTCTGCGTTCATGCTAGTAATCAGTTTTTTGTTATCTTTAAAGGGAAATTTCTTTATGACAAAAACCTTGTCCAGACTGAATTCAACTTTGTAAATAACTCCATGAGCTCCTCTCCCAATAATATGCCTATCATTTAGGTTCTCTGTGACCTTCATCACCTTCTTGAGCAAAGTTGATGATCGCTGTTCGGGAAAAATCTTCACATCTTGCTTGTAGTATATCAGGTAAACAAGACCAAGTAACAGAATTGATATCAGTAGTGCAGATCCAACTGCTATCAACATAACTTTAATTTTACTCAGCCCTTTTCGATGTGTAGTGTTGTTCTCATCACATGGCTTCAAGCTGCTACTTTTGGAACAATTTGATGGAAAACATCTAACACATAAGCCAGGAACTCCCAAGAATGATGAGGAAGAAGAATGGAGCAAGTTCACCAGTGTGTCTGGAAGAGGACCAGAAAAAGAATTGTATGAAATATTGAGTTCAATCAATGAAGTGAGATCTTCAAGAACTTCAATTTTTCCAGTCAGATTGTTGAGAGAAATATCCAGGCTTTGCAGCAATGTCAGTTTTCCAATCTCAGGAGGAATTTCACCAGTCAGCCCATTAGCACTTAGATTCAACTCATAAAAAAGATTTTTCAACCCACCAATTGATCTAGGAATTTGGCCTCCAAAAACATTTCCCCCAAGATGTAGATCATAAAGGCCTTCAAATTCTGATAAGAAAGTTGGGATACCCCCAGTGAAATGATTGTCCCTTAAATTCAATGTTGCCAACCCTGTCCAAGTTCTCAAACTAGACGGGAATGAACCATTTAGAGAATTGAATCCAGCATCAAAGTACTGCATTTTCTTACAGTTTGACAGCTCATGTGGTAAAGGACCTTCTAATTTGTTTTGAGAAAGGTTCAACCTTTGAAGGTTCACAAGGTTTCCTAGCCCAAAGGGTATGATCCCAGAAAGATTGTTGTGAGATAAAATAACAGTAGTAAGATTTTTGCAGTTTCCCAAACTTGATGGAATTGTTCCATTGATATTGTTCCCACTGAAGTCCATGTAGGTGAGACTACAATTGCTTGTAAAATCAGGTAAGGGTCCACTTAAGTTGTTTCCATCAAGCCTTAACCTAGTAAGTGTGGTGCATCTTCCCATGTCAGGAGGAATACCACCTTGCAATTGATTTGAAGCCAGGACTAGCCTAAGTAATTGTTGTCCAAAGCATAGATTAGCTGGGATGTTTCCAGTGAAAAGATTATATGAGAGATCCATCTCCACTAAACTGCTATTGATTCCTAAGTTTTGAGGAATGACTCCAGAGAACTGATTGTGGTATATGCCAAGTTTTCTCAGTTGTTTGAGTTCTGCCAATTCTAAAGGCACCTCACCAGAAAGGTTATTGTAATACACATGCAGTTGCTGAAGGCTGGAAATTTTCCAAATGCTCACTGGAATTCCACCTGTCAAATTGTTGAAATGAAGTCTAAGATCTTGCAACTGACTTAGCTTTCCTAATTCACTTGGAATCTCTCCCTCAAGTTCATTGTTATTCAACATCAAGTATTTTAATGACCTACAATTACCAATTTCTGAAGGTATTTGACCAGACAAATGATTGGTTTCAAGGCGAAGAACAGAAAGTTGTGTTAATTGGCCTAAGGAGGATGGAATGCTTCCTCCTAAACTTGTGTTTAAAGCATAAATTTCTGTCAATCCACTGCAATTCCCCAAGGTTGAAGGTATGCCTCCACTAAATTTGTTTACTGACAGGTCCAAATATTGTAAAGTTTTACATGTGCTAGATCCCAATAAGGGAATGGTACCCTCAAGTCTATTATTACTGAAACTCAACTTAACAACACTTTGAAGATTGTTAATACTATCAGGTAGAACTCCATGAAACTGGTTATAGTCCAAATACAGCTCCACTAATTTACTGCAGTTTGCAATGGACGGCGGAATCATTCCTGACAACTGATTACGATCCAGATACAGTGTCACAATTTCTGTACCATTCCCAACATTCATTGGAATGGGACCAGACAAAGAGTTTTGGTTCAGGAGAAGATCTTCCAAGTGTTGAAGTTGAAACAAGAACTCAGGAATTTGACCAGTTATCCCATTGTACATACTACTGAAAGACACTAAATTCTGCAAGTTTCTCAAACTATCAGGTATGTTTCCTGTGATACTGTTATAAGAAAGGTCCAGGTTCTGAAGCAGAGTACAATTTCCTAACTCAGGAGGTATGTTCCCTGAGAAGTTGTTTGAGGACAAGTCAAGTGTTTGCAAGTGACTCAAGTGTCCTATTTCAGGTCCCAAAAGACCTGAAATTGAGTTTCCAGAGAGGTTAAGATAGATTGCACTATGGTTATTGTCACACTGGACTCCTAACCAAGAGCATGGAGTGGAATCAGAAGCATTCCAACTCAAGTTTATGGAAGGAGGAACAAATGTCCAATGCTTTTGGAGTGACAGAAGAGCCACCCCATCAGTGTTCAATGCAGTAACGGCATATAACATGGCAGAAAAGCAAATCATGACCAAGTTGAACTTCACCATGATGTGTAGCACACACACACACAAGCAAGCTAAAAAGAAATGGAAAATTCAAGTGTTGGAAATTGCTTTATCGACTTGGAATCTCTAACTCATTCCTCATAGACATATACATATTGAGAATACTTCTTAATAAAAAAAAATACAACAGTGTTTAAAAAAAGTACCTATTTTCAAGCTTTATGATTAAATTTTGAATGAGGTTTATGGAGGAATTGATGACTAGAATCTGAATGAAGGAAGATTGAGAGAGAAGGGAAATGAGAAAGATAGTAACATAGTGAAAGAGTGTTGAGTGTCAAGGAACAATGTTGTTAACTCCCTATATATATCAGTTTTGTCTATCCATAAGTGTCAAATAATTAAAAAAGATTGGTTAAACAGTCGCTGTTTATGTTGATGTTTCCAAGATTTCTGTATTAATTTTGTTCCCAGTTGAGTCAAAAATTAACTCGAAAAATTAACTGTTAAATTGGTTTAATTAAATTGGTTTAATAGAATTAAATTTTTTATACGTGATATTATGATGTTACTTAGAATTTCACGTTAAATTCGTTTAATAGAATCAAGTTTTTTATATGTGATATTATGTTGTTACTTAGAATTTCATTATATTATAAATTTAAAAATTAGGTTTTTTTATAATTTAAATCTAAATTAGAGTTTATCATCTTCTAACCTTACATTTTATAGTCTCATTTTATCATCTTCAACTCTAGCAAGTTCATCACGAAATTAGGGTTCATAAAACCCAAAAATTTGTTCAAAATTTGAAATTAAGCACCACCAAATTCCAAATTAGGGTTTATCAAAATCAGCTCAATGAAGACCAGCTTTTTCCAGCACTATCTGAGACCCAACATTCAGCACATCAACAAGAGCTTCCATCCTCTCCAAGTTTGGCAACGATTGCTCCATGAAAGCAACCTTAACCACTTCTTTCACAACCACCGTGGCAACCCCTTTACTCCAGTATTTGGAACCAATAACATAGCCAAGTTCCAAGGATCTGTTCCTGCTTTGATCATGCTCTGAATTGGAGGAAAGAGAAAAACCCAATAGCACGGTCGTCCAGGCATATTGCTCTGCACCACGCAAACTTGTTGGCTATGTTTTGGATGAAATTGATTCCCTCTGCTTTGCTACCATAAGGATCCCAAGTGCAGAAAGTTGCCACCTTTTCATCGGAGGTCCACACCAAGAAATCATCCAGGTCAGAGAGCTCAAGGGGTCGAAGAGATATTCGACTCAAATCGACGCTTTCTTCTTTTTCTTCTGATTTCTCCATTGGCTTGATGATGGAGTTCTTAATTTTACTTGTGGTTTGTTGCAGCTTGAAGCAACTGACAATTTTGCTTTTCTTGATATGCTTCTTTTTTGGGTTTTATTTTTTTTGGTTTCTTGTGAAGATTGGGATTAGTGAATAAAAGTAAAAATAGCATCAAGATGTATGGTTTAACCAAAAAGATTTAAATTTCTATATCTATTTTAACCATTAAAAATTTATAAACTTGTGCTATATTGCTTTTTTAGTTTTATAAATTAAGATAGTTTAATTTTTATTTTATTTTTAAGGGTTAAATATGTTTTTCGTCTCTTAACTATCATTGAATTTTGGTTTTAGTTCCTATTCAAAACTTTGATGGCTTTTAGTCCTCATAGTATTGAAACATGTAATATTAGTCCTTAAAAATGAACAGCGTCAACTTTTTGTTGATCTGGCAAACGGCGAGGCCACGTCTTCTGCCAGCTTCTGTCTTAAGTATTTGTCACGTTGCTTGTTTAATTTGTGGAATGAGATTAAGTGATTGGCACGTGTGTGGGTGATTGAAATCAGATTACGAAAGTTGGGCTCTTCTTCGTTATCTCAGTTGGGGCAAAGTTAGGTTCTTCTTTGTCATCTCAGTTGAAGGTTGGAGTTCGTCTTGTTGAGGAGGTAAGATGATATGTATTGTTATGCTCTTCTGTAACCCTGTAGTTCTTTAATAAACCCTAAATCCCCAATACTTCTGCGTGTGAATATAAGACACGCCAACAATTAACACAATCCCAACAAGCACAAATATGAATAAGAAAATCCACACATATTTCCTGCCCTTACCTCGTTCTCATCCAAGCTTGGACACAGACCAGAGAGAGAACTACACAGCCCCAGATTTCCTAGAAAACTATTTATGTAATACTCATTGGCATAAAGAGGAGGAATCACGCCTAGAAAACTGATTGTTCGACAAATTCAACAAGTTCAGCTTCATATTCTGCAGCTCAATTGAAATTACACCAGATAAACGATTATTAGAAAGATCAAGATATTTAAGCGCAGGCAAGTCCATTAACTCCTTAGGAATACTCCCATCCACTTTGTTATTCGCCAAATCAAGTTCATTGAGCGCCTTCCAACCACCAACATCAGCAGGAATCTCTCATAAAATTGATTGTCTCTGAGGACCAGCCTATCCAACTGACTCAACCCAACCACAATTGTCGGAATCCGACCAGTAAGATTATTATTATTAGCAACAAACTCTCCAAGATTAACCAATTCACCGATGCCCTCAGGAATCGACCCAGAAAAATTATTTCCTGAAATTAACAAAATTGACAGGTTCCGTGCCCCGGAAATCCGATTAGAAATCGACCCAGAAAGAGAGTTCTCAACAAGCTCCAACAAATACAAATGGGGTAAACCCCATAACCCCCTGGTACAACCCCAGAAAGGTTATTGTTCCTAAGCCGAACCCTTTTCAAACTCTTGCATTCCACGAGAATGTCTGGGATCCTCCCGGAAAACGAATTGTAAATCAAAATCAGCTCCTCCAACACTCCTACACAGCACAACCTTGACGGAACCTCACCGAAGAATCGATTAAACGAAACGTCGAAACGCTGCAACTTTGAGTTTCCACCCAACCCACTAGGCAAAGACCCAGAGAGTGAGTTGTTGAACAACTTCAACTCGTACAAGTTCTCCGAATTCACTATACTCTCAGGCAAAGTTCCCTCGAGTTTATTAGCGAACAGGTTCNGTAAGATTATTATTATTAGCAACAAACTCTCCAAGATTAACCAATTCACCGATGCCCTCAGGAATCGACCCAGAAAAATTATTTCCTGAAATTAACAAAATTGACAGGTTCCGTGCCCCGAAAATCTGATTAGAAATCGACCTAGAAAGAGAGTTCTCAACAAGCTCCAACAAATACAAATGGGGTAAACCCCATAACCCCCTGGTACAACCCCAGAAAGGTTATTGTTCCTAAGCCGAACCCTTTTCAAACTCTTGCATTCCTCGAGATTGTCTGGGATCCTCCCGGAAAATGAATTGTAAATCAAAATCAGCTCCTCCAACACTCCTTCACTGCACAACCTTGTCGGAACCTCACCGGAGAATCGATTAAACGAAACGTCAAAACTCTGCAACTTTGAGTTTCCACCCAACCCACTAGGCAATGACCCAGAGAGTGAGTTGTTGAACAACTTCAACTCGTACAAGTTCTCCGAATTCACTATACTCTCAGGCAAAGTTCCCTCGAGTTTATTAGCGAACAGGTTTAGCGACCCGAGTTTCTTCAACCCGCACAACTCGTCCGGAATCGTCCCAGTCAACTCGTTCGTGGAGGCATCGAACCGTTCCAAGTTAGCAAGCTTTGCAAACGCAACGCGTGGCAACGTGCCGGAGAGCGAGTTCTGGTAGAGTTCGATTTGCACAATGTTGTGCAAACCCGACACGAGTTGTTCAGGTATGTTTCTAACGAGGTTGTTCATGGACAAGTCAAGGTTTGTGAGCTTCGTCAAGTTTCCTAGAGAAGGAGGAATGGGGCCTACAAGGTTGCACCCTGCTAGCCAGAAGAAGAACCCAGCTTTGCCCCAACTGAGATGACGAAGAAGAATCCAACTTTCGTAATCTGATTTCAATCACCCACACACGTGTCAATCACTTAATCTCATTCCACAAATTAAACAAGCAACGTGACAGATACTTAAGGCAAAAGACGTGGCCTCGCCGTTTGCCAGATCAACAAAAGGTTGACGTCGTCCATTTTTAAGGATTAATATTACATGTTTCAATACTATGAAGACTAAAAGTCATCAAAGTTTTGAATAGGGACTAAAACCAAAATTTAGTGATACTTAAGGGATGAAAAACATATTTAACCCTATTTTTAATTATTAGAGTAACTTTATCTACCAATTTCGATTTAATTATTAGATTTTGAACCAATCCTTAAACCAATTCAATTGTTAGTCAGATTTGAAAATCACTCAAATTTTCTTGGAAAGCTTGACAAAAGTATACAATAATATTGTTTGAAGTCCAAGTCTACTTTAAAATAGTATATAAATCGTTAATAAAGAAAATCCCAAATTCACACTTGTCGTGGAAAAAAAAACGTCTTTATCAGTGATCTCATTTGGGATTATACAAAAATAACATTATGTAACCAGACAAGTTGTTATAGAAACCTAATATTAGTTAATCTAAGTAGTTAAACCTGAATCAACCTAACGTTCAAATCATGAATACAAGTCTAACTCTTTAAACATTAACTTGTACATCTGCATTGTAAACACGCTGAAATAAATTAATAATGATGTAGGTCGAGAGCTATTCAATATTAGAAAATTTCAAGAAAAATTCATTTTTGCTGATGCTGGAAAAAAAAATAATGCAGAGTTTTTTTTTTTTATAAATTATGCAAGTATGATTTAAATATAAATAAAACTCTCACATTTCTCAGTCTTTATATATTCAAACCTAAGTTATTGTCTTTGCAATTCAACTTGTCAATGACTAATTCAAAGGGCATTTTGAACTGAATAAACGGAGGTTGGTTTCTTTTCACATAGGGATTATCGCATTCAAGATGGATAGTTATCAGCAACTCGATTTACAAAATAAAAATTTGACTTGCAATTTCTCTGCTACCCACACACAATACTTGTAGGTATTTTAAAATTCACGAATTATTGTAAAAAAAAATATTTTATACATTAAAAAAAATTACAAAAATTATATATAATATAAATAAAATTAAAATTTAATTTTAATTTAATTTAATTTAATAAAATATTATTTTTATTTTATTTTTAATTAAATTTAAATAAAAAATATATAAATTAGTTTTTTATTATTATATTTTATGAATAATATATACCTGTGGGATAAACTCGTATCCAACTCATTTAAAAATGGATACTTATTTAAAAATGGATATTAAAACATCTGTTCGCGGATTTTATTTTTCTTTGGTTTAATGTCTCAATAGGTCCCTATTTTTGTTCAGAATTTGAAATAGGTCCCTTTATTTTTTGGCGCGTCTCAATTGGGTCCTTATTTTTGTTAATTTGATGCAAATAAATTCTTTCCGTCAATTTCGCGTTAATGAATGTGTGACGTGGCCTTACACGTGTCAATACTGTCCTCAGGCCACGTCACACATTCATTAACGCCGTTTGATAAAATTGACGGAAAGAATTTATTTGCATCAAATTAACAAAAATAAGGACCCAATTGAAACGCAAAAAAATAAAGAGACCTATTTCAAATTCTGAACAAAAATAGAGACCTATTGAGACATTAAACATTTTTCTTTCGTCCATACTTTCACGTTTAGTCTTTGTTCTGTATTTCTTTAGGAATATATCTTTAGTATATTTGTCCAATTATAGTGAGCGGGTCTTTTTATGTTCATCTTGTTAGGTCAAAGCTTTGTCATTGATAAATAAAATCTAAATAACGTGTATGAACGTACATGTTTAATATTTATATTTTACTGTCAGGTTCACAACAATAAAAAAAATAGAAAATGCATACAAAAATTAAAACCTTTTATTATTTATAGGAAGGTTCTATACATAGATATCCTTACAATTATATTCAGTCATGGATATATGCATAAAGCTCTCTATATATAGAATTTAAGAAACAAACAATAAAAGAGAAACGTCAAGACAATTAGGTTTAAATGTTCAATACAAGTGTTAGACAACAACAGCGCACCTGTGATCTATCCAGATCCTAAAAATTTTAATAATTAAGAAAATATATAAATATGATGAAATATTTTAAATAAAAGATGCAACTGTTTATTAATTATAATTTAAATTATTTATTTTATTTTAAAATATTTTTTTTAAGAAATAAGATTTAATGAATAATTAATCAATTAAAAAAAGTATTCCTAGATATTAATTGATATTTTTAAATATTACACATTAAAAAGTATTATAAGATATTATTTTGTTATATATTATTGTTAGATAATAATAAGTGATAATGAAATATTGTATTTTTTTAGAAATATTAGACTTATAAAGACAGGGAGAACAATGCTTATGGGAGAATTTTAATAGAAACGACGACAAGTCAAGAAAAAAGGGAGAAATTTTTAAAGGTTGAGTTTTGAAAAGGAAACAAAAAGTGAAGAGTAAGAGGGAGAGGAACTTACATTCTTGTTTTTTTTTTTGTTTTCTTTCTTGTCTTCTTGTTTATGTGACGTATTATGTATTATTTTATATGAGTCTAAATTGTGGAGTAGATTTTATTTAGTATGATTATGATGACATGTAAATGAAAGTTGTGATGGTGACTTACTGAAAGATAGACACTCTAATAGTCTCTAGTGGTGAGCGGGAGTATCCACTCTGCCCATAAGACTCCTAGGGAGCAATAAGGAGTGGACTTTGCCTCTAAGACTCCTAGGGAGCAGTAGGAGGGGTAACTCTGCATAGTTGTATCGAAGGTAACCTTCGTCGAGGCTCGGGAGAAGAGTAATGGAAAGTTACACTTGTGATCTTCGCCCATAAGACTCTTGGGGAGCAAGGGAAGTGGACTGATATTTGGTAAGTTATATGCGAGAGTTACAAACATGTATCCTAACTTTGAGTTCACTTGTGGTTGTATTTTTGCGGGACATGTTTTGTGTGGTTGTGTGGAACAATAAATGTAATATTATGGCTTTGTTAGACATGTGACTATGTAAGATTTGAGTGGGTTGTTATATTATGATTGATGTGTATGTTAGTTATGATGTTTTAATGTCATTATGTTAGCTCACTCTTCTATTGGTGGTTGTGGTTTCCATTCGTGATGATCATATTTTATATAGGAGTAAATGATAACACAAGTATTGAAGAAGATTCACAATGCTGGGGAGAGGGGTCAATATCGAGGGATGTTTGGAATAATTTTTTAGTTTTATGTTTTTCCTTTTCAATAAAGTTTTTTTGTAAAATAAAAAAAATTGTTGAGATTTTCAATAAAAAAGGAAATGAAGTTTTATTTTAGTAAGAAAAAAATCAGGGTGTTACAAATACTACTGCACGTTTCTACTAGACAATCTCTTGTGGTCTTCATGAAATTATCATGATTTAGAGTCAATTATCACAATTCTCCACATTGAACTCCAAATCATGAAAGAGCTTTTGCATCACCTTCCTTTATCTTCAAACAAAAACTTAATCCCCTCTAGACACGGCTTGAATCTCAATTATGACAAAAACTTTGTAAACACATTTGTGCAATTGAATCTTGATCTTGGCAAGGTCATCTTCTTGTGAAAACAGGGAAAAACACAAAGGATGGTTGGATTGTGTTTTTAATTTCTTTTAAGAGCTTAGATGATAGTTTTACTTCGCAAGTGATCCATTAATGAAAATTTTTGTCTTATGGAATGCAACATATGCAACTTTTGGACTTGACTTATTTACTTATTTAAAGCATATTGAATATGTATTTTCACAATAACTTTCCCTCCCTCCAAAATTATTTCAAATTATAATAAAGTGTCGTGCAAAGATATAGGGAAAGAAAGAAATACAAAGGGTATCTTTCAAGCTCGAGCTAGTTCAAACAATGTAGATGGAATTTAGGTGCCTCTACCATAGCAAATTTTTCTAGCACCGTACATATTTCTCCTTCCCTTGTCATCCATAATGTTCTTTATGTCCCAGAATTTAATTTCAACCTTTTGTTTATTTCTAAATTGGTTTCTAGTTTTTGTTATAAACTCACTTTTTGTCATGATTCTTGCCTAATATAGGATGTGAACTCCTTGAGGATGATTGGTTTGGCTAAACTACAACAGGGTCTCTACCACTTGATAATCAGCAAGGAACCTTCCACCTTACCCACTGTTCCATCCTTTGTCAACTCCTCCACCACTAGTCTCATCACCATGAACAACATTTGGCATTTTAGATTAGGACATTTATCTAGGAAACGTCTTCATATTTTACATGAACAATTTCCTTTTATTTCCAAAAATTTCAATGACACTTGTGATGTTTGTCATTTGGCTAAACAAAGAAAGTTGTCTTATTCTTCTAGTAACAGTAGAGCTTCCAAAATATTTGATTTAATTCACATGGACATTTGGGGACCCTTTTCCAAAGCTAACCATTCATGGTCCAGAATTTTTCTTAAAAGATTTCTTTTCATTAAAAGGAATTTTGCACCAAACAAGTTGTGTTGCCACTCCACAACAAAATACCAAAGTTGAAAGAAAACACCAATACATTCTCAATGTTGCCAAAGCAATAATTTTTCAATCACATGTGCCAATTCATTTTTGGTCCTATGCCATCAAACACGTTGTCTATCTCATAAATCATGTTCCTTCTCCTGTAATTCAAAATAAAACTCCTTATGAGTCATTACACAAACAACAACCAGATATTTCCATGATTAAAATTTTCGGTTGTTTATGTTATGCGTCCATACACACATCGTAAAAAGTTTGACCCGCGTTCCAGACGTGGTGTGTTCTTAGGTTTTCAAAATGGCACAAAAGGTTATGTTCTTTTGGATTTTGATACAAAAGAAATTTTTATTTCTAGAAATGTGTTTTTTCATGAAATGATTTTTCCTTTTGCTCCAAATAAAGAGCCCAATCCATCCTTATCTCGTCCCAAACCCAATCCACCCAATCCATCCTTGTCTCATCCTAGCCCAACTTGGTATTCATCATACACTGATTCCTACTCACCCATTATCACCCAAGAGTCAAAACCAACATTATGCAGCCCACATTCCTCTACAGAAAGTGTTGCAGCCCCAAATTCCCCTCTCATGACTGAGTCCCCCAATCCATCCTTGTCTGATCCCAATTTTCCCTTCTCCTTTCCATATGGTTCATCCTCCCCAAACACAACCATGCCGCAACACAGTGAACCAGACCAAACAGTGCACCTTCTTCGTCGCTCAACTCGCCCACATAACAATCCACCTCACCTTGCTGATTACGTTTGCAATTTTACGCCAACGCAATCATCCACAAACTGTTTAAATCCATTGGAATCTGTTTTTAACTACACTTCTGCGTCTCCTTCTCACTGTCACTACCTCATGTCATTGTCTTCTAAGCAAGAACCCACTAATTATCAAGAAGCCATAAAGTAACCTTGTTGGAAGAAGGCTATGAAAAGTGCAATAAAGGCTCTAGTGCTGGATAAGACTTGGGATATTGTTGAAACTCCTCTAAATGTCAAACTGATTAGGTGCAAGTGGGTGTATAAAATCAAACGACGACCAGATGGGACTGTGGAACGCTACAAAGCCCGACTTGTAGCAAAGGGATTCACACAGATTGAAGGTATTGATTATTTCGAAACTTTCTCTCCCGTTGTAAAGATGGCAACCATACGACTTGTTCTTGCTTTAGCTTCTGTCAATAGATGGCATCTTCAACAGCTTGATGTTAGTAATCCATTCCTACACGGTGAACTTTCTAAAGATGTACATGGTTGTTCCTCCTGGTGTCATGGGTCACCACAGTTCACAGTGTTGCAAATTAAAGAAATCTCTCTACTATCTAAAACAAGCGAGCAGGAAATGGTATGAAAAGTTGTCTCTTTTACTCTTATCTTGTGGATATAAACAAGATCATGTTGATCACAACCTTTTCATTAAATCTGATGCGTCTGATTTTACTGCTCTGATCATATATGTGGATGACATTGTATTAACTGGGAATTCTGTGCATGAGATTGCCCACATTAAGCAAATATTACAATCACATTTTCATATAAAAGATATTGGTCTTTTGAAATATTTTCTGGATATAGAAGTTGCTCATTCAGATGCAGGAATCTCCTTATGTCAACGGAAATACTGTTTAGATCTCCTCAAGGATTCTGGTATGACAGGATCCAAACCCTGTTCCACACCCATGGACAGTGCACTTTGTTTGCTTCAAGATTCCACTGAACCTCTTGTTGATCCACTTTCGTACCGAAGACTTGTTGGTCGTCTATTATATCTTACAAGCAAACGTCCTGATATCACTTTCGCCACACAACAACTAAGTCAATTCATGAGTAATCCTACTCAGATGCATCTTCGAGCAGCCATGAGGGTCCTTCATTATCTCAAGAGCATCCCCGGGAAAGGTCTGATGTTCAGGAGTGATTCTCCTATCCAAATTCTTGGTTTTAGTGATGCGGATTGGGCGACCTGTGTTGATTCAAGAAGGTCTGTTATAGGGTATTGTTTCTTTCTTGGAAATTCCTTAATTTCTTGGAAGACAAAGAAGCAAAACACTATATCTCGCTCATCATCCGAAGCTGAATACCGAGCCCTTGCTTCAGCCACTTGTGAGTTACAATGGCTAAATTTTCTGGTTAGAGATCTAAAAATACCTTGTTCCAAACAAGTTGTCTTGTACTGTGACAATCAAAGTGCATTGCATATTGCAGCAAATCCCATTTTCCATGAGCAGACAAAACATTTGGACATTAATTGTCACCTCGTTCGTGAGAAACTACAAGCTGGCTTGATGCGATTAATTCATGTGTCATCCTCGAACCAGCTAGCATACATCTTCACAAAAGCTCTCCCTCCAAAGTTGTTCCACTTAAACTTATCCAAGTTGGAGTTAATCAACATCTTCCTACCTCCAACTTGTGGGGGGCTAACAGATAAAGAGCCCAATCCATCCCAAAAACAACATTGTACAGCAGTAGAAATGAGTCACAATCCACACTCTGCTACCTCATATTTTTGCATTACAGAAATAGCTGTAAATAGCTCGCATTCTTCTAGAATATGATGAGTTGTATAGTGGTCATTCTCCTTTATTCGTTCTTATCCACATGTTGTAGCAGTATATATGATATACTTTTCTTTCATCAATAATATATGGAATTCATTCCAATATCCTCTCTTTCTTACCTTTCGATCTTTCCCTTTTAGTTACCATCATCGAGTTGCAGTAAGCCTCACTTCTTCAGTCAATAAACAATTCAGAAGATGTAGTAATCCCATCTCTCTTTTTTTTTTTTGCATGATGCAGTAATCTCCTTGAAATGAGTAGTAAGGGGATCAAAAACTATGTCCCAATCTGCATGTTTTTTTTTTCAAAAACAAAGAAGTGTAACACGACTCACCAAAACTTCTCAGGAGACCATCCATCCTATTATTACTCTAACCCATATGAGCTTAATTGCTTATGAGATTAGTGTATTAATGTTGGTATGATCGCATGTTCAATATGCATGCTTGACTAAGTGCACAAACTTTAGTTAGAAGTTAGAATATATCTTCCTTACTTCAATTTCATCATATATTCTTGTAAAAGAATGGTGAACCAAGAAAAAGGTGTAAACCCAGTTAATGGGAATTGAAACGGAAGGAATCCTCGGGTACATATTTAGTCCTCATATTGTAATGCTCAAACTTTGGATTACCATAATCAACACCCCTCATCTTAACTGGTTTTTTCTCTTCTCCAACACCCTCCAAAAGAACATGTCCAACCTTTTCTCGTTGTTGCTGATGTTTAGACCTTTGCTTCAGGCTCTTAGATTTGGTACAAGATGGCACCTCAGTTGATCCATAGAACTCAGCATACTCCTGTTTTTTCGATGAATGGTGCTTTCTTAAGAAAGAGGGATCCTTGGAAGAGCTTGATTTTATCTTTGCAGGCCTCATTTATGAATATTTCTCAGTTGTGCTTGGAGTATGAACATGCTTAGTTTCAGTAAGAAGTGAATCAAAAGCCCTTTGCCTATCTGCCATGGTGGCCTCTAACTCATCTTCTGGCGTCTTAAGACGATATTTTAACGGTGTCAAGCCTCTCTTGGTGCTATCAGACTTGGAATGCCATGGTATGAATTGAAAGAAAGAACTAAATGTTTTGAGGGAGAGATTAAAAAGATACAAAAGAAGCTGTCTAAAAGAAGGCCATTTTGTCTCCTCCTTATGGTCTTGGCCTTTGAATTCACCTTTTGATGGTGGCTGCATTATGCATGAAGTGTAATTAGTCAACCGACAAGAACATGTTTTCCTAAAAATGAACAGCATGAAATCACTATTATTACAACATGACAATGAAATGGTAAGCTCAGGAAAACAAGAGTTAATCACAAAAGGATGAAGGAAAAAAAGGGTAAAGGGGAAATCCTACTATGAACCCTACAAAAATGACAATATAGAAGGAATGAAAGAAAAAACTATTTCACTTTTGAAAATGAACAAGCTTTGTAATTCAAAAGAATGACCACAGTTTCAATTAACAATACATTTGCAAAATTGTGAGTTTTCTGCTGTCAAATCGTCATATACCTCTTAATTTTATTCTATTATTAAAAAATTGTTAGGGAAAATAGGCATAAATAGGCATACTGTTTTGGGGATGAAAGATGATCCAAATCCTTGCTGAAACCTGTATGTAGCATATCCTACTAAAACAGCACCAACAACTGTGAGGACATCTGCAGAAAATCAAAGAATGGAACTATAAATATTGAAGAACGCTGTAATAGAGAGCATTTATGGATGGCAGACTCAATGTTCCTTTTCAAATTTACATAATGCCCATTTTCTTTCTTCAGTTTACTGCACAGCACTGCAGAAAATTCACATTTGCCAGTGGCAAACACCAGGACAGATTTACAGAACAACTTTTTGACAAAATATTAAACAACCCTACCAAGGGCAACAAAATGTAGCTTAAATTCATTTTTTTTATAGTAATTTTCAATTTCTTTCATTGACCTCACAAGGGAGTTAATAGTAAGGATGTGCAGATTTCTCAATTGCAAAATCTAAATTCTGGTAGAAATAAATATAACATCTAAGATACACTATGACCAGTAACAGAAACCTTGCTGCTTATGTCAAATAAAAGGTTAAGAATTTAAACCTGTAATAGATATTGATAGCAATCCTCCTGATTGAGAATGATTTGGCGAAGAGCAGCATTTCCTCTATCTATGACCAACAAGGAACAGGTTGGGCGAACCTACACCACATCAAAATCATTTGAGAACTTAGCATCCTCACTGGGACCATCTCTGTAGCCTGCAACATTTGACTTTCCTCCAGCAATGGTTGTCACACCTAAAATTAGTTGCAAAAATTAGTAACTTGTACCTTTTCACAATTCTCAATGCTACTAATGCAACACTTCTATATCCATGTTTATTAGTAATTTTATATTAAAACTCAGTTCTGATATTGTTATTCTTTACCAATGGACTGCACTAGTCCAAAATCTTCTAAACTCACGTATTCTTTTAACTTTAGTTTAACATATACCAGCATCTCCAATCTTTCTGATAGCTAGATTTTGAGTATCAGCAACATAGACATTCCCTTTATCATCCACAGTTATGCCTTTGGGATGATTGAAACGAGAATCACTTGGTTTTCCATCTACATGACCAGTGTAGCCTTGAAACGACCCTGCCACCAATCTTCCTCTACTATCTGTGCCAACAAGAAGACAAAACAGAATTAAATATCAAGTCCAATAACTAAAAACAAATCACTGTAATCACTCAATAACTCTAAAATTCTACTCCATTAACTAGAAAATTCTCTTGCTGATGTTGGCATGCTATGATAAACACATAAACCCGTAAACCAAGTACAATAAACCTTTTCAAGTTTTTCATTTTCTTGTTTCCTTAATTTTTTGCCTCTGCACATATTCAAAAGACTGAAACAAACATTAGTTTTAATCACCACTCTTATTATGTTTCTCCAGAAAAATAGAGAACCAAATTTGAAGAAAATAAGAAATACCAATTTTGTATGCCAAAACTGACATGTACTAAGCAATCATATTTGATAGTTATAAAAGGAAAGAGGATATAAGCAACCATACATTGGGATAAGGGCGGGGTGATTCGAACAATGTTACTATTAATTGCAT